AAATCTGGAGGGCCCTTGGCTGAGGATTTTACAAGCGTAGTTTATAAAGTGTTAGAACACAATCTCAAAGCCCCAGGATATTTAGTTTAGAATTCTCACAGAAAGCAGTGCAAGGTTGGATGCCTTTGAATCTGGACCTGTAAGATCGAAAGTCTGGAGCCATGACCAGAGTACTAAAAGGGAGCAACAGATCAATTACTGGGTAACACTCGCTAACTGACTAATGATCTATTCCTAAATCTGGGGGGGTCACAGGCTGCAAAATTTCTGCCCCTAGTTCCCCAAATTCCAGTTATACTTTCAACCACAGTTGCCACCGCCACCTGCCTGGAAGCAGTCACATTCCCACATGGGAGAGGTCTGCTTCTGAGGCGGATTTCAGCAGTCTTATCTGCTCCGAAGCAGCAGAACAAAAATTTTGGCTTTGTACCACTAGATGGCAAACACAGACCATTTGATAAATTGCCTGATTCCTTTTAGGAGTTGCTTCACATCATAATTAATCTTCAGTTCTATTTTGCGGCACACGCAGCCATTACCTGCTTTGCCTGTTGCAAAACCCAGGTCAGGTAAAGCAACTTTCATCTGAAGTCTCAGGTGAATTCTGGATTAGATGAACCATCAAGGGGGCTGAGCAAAGCCATTCCAGTTGTTTGATTTTGAGTGGTTTTTGAGAGTCACTACCTGATCACATTGCTGTAATCTCTGTCTTTCTCTAGGGCTGCTTGTCATGCTGTCTTATCACATCTCTATTAGCTCTTACACTCATTCTGGAGAGCAGCCTTTTCTACCTTTCTGCCTGAACATTGATCTCACCCGCTTCCAAGCAAATACCAGCTCTAACCACATCACTTGGTTGTCTCTCAGACCATATTAATTTTAAGTGGAGTGAATAGGGCCATCCACATAATCAAATAAAGCTTTAATCTTTCTTCTAAATCAACTGTTGGACCAACTCTCCAGCCAAATCTGGTATCAGAAAAAAAAATTTCACTCAGTAAGCTCACAAATTCACTTCATCTTTTAAGCGCTCATGAAGATGGCGAGAGAAAGGCTGTTCCTTCTTCCTCCCCTTCTGTGGGATGGGTCCCAGGTTGTGCTTCAGCTAGAACTGGTGCTCTTCAGCTGATTGCCACCATTTGTGTTCAACCAAAGCAGAGCTCACTAAGCCCTAGGGCCAAGAATGGGCCATATGCTCTATTACAAACACTTAGCACACATTTGGAAGTTTCAAAAATAAATAGCATCCTTATTTAGTTATATTTCATCTGCAATTACTTAGCCCTTTCTGTTTCTTAACATTACTATTGAAATAATTTCATTTGTCCACAATATTAAATTGATTTTGAGTGCTGAAATCAAAGTTTATTCAGAAAAGTGAATTAAGGCAGCACTCTGGCAGTGAGCAAATGCTTTAAACATGCTAATGGGCAAATTCTATTCTGAGCTGCACTGATGAAACCCCGCTGACTTAAATGGTTCTGTTTCAGGGAATCGGAGACTCGATTTTGATCTGAGAAGTTTAAGAGATTTTCACGACAGGACTTTTCTCGAAAAGTTTCATCCAAATGCAGAGGATGTTATGGAAGCAGGTCTTAGATTAAAGGCTCTTGAGGCAATGGTGAGTCATGAAGTACCAAAAATTTTAGAAACACAGATTTTTAAGAAACATAGGTTTTTGGACTAGGAATAATAATCAGATTGTTTAACATAGTGTGACCTCTAGCTCTAGCTAATCAATGCTAAACCTGGGTGTTCTCAAACATCTGCTTTCAAACTTCTCTTTTTTCTTTTTCTCTAGCATATATTGACAATACTAATTTATCACGGTTTTTAAAACACAAGGAATAGCACAAAGTTACCCTATTTCTGCCTGCCTATCTGCTCTGGCATGTGACAGGAGGCAGGGGAGCTGGCTTACCCAGGAGCGAGGCCTGACAGATGCTTGTTGTGTGCCTGAGGTGCCTCTACGGGACAGTTTGTCTGCTTTGAGATCTCTAGGGAATGTCTCCGACACCATTTTAACATTATTTAAAAAGAGATTTTTTTTTTTAAAAAGGGAATTTCTTTAGTCAACTCCAAAATGCACTTGATAGGTAAAGGATTCTAAATTTTTGCTGTATAATCTTAATCAGAAAGGTATTCTTTGATGTTCATCATACCCTTCTCCTAGACTCTTCCACTCCCTCCCTTCCTCCCTAGATAATTTTATTTATTCAATAATATATGCTTGGGTAGCATTTAAACTCATGTATGTACAGGAATAAAGGTTGCTAAGGTGCAAAAAGATGCCTACAGTCCTCAAGCATTTGCCTGAAACTTGCATGATCATAGATTTTTCCAAGTGTTTTTTAGAGTAAATGACAACAACTCTAAGATGGTGGAGGAGTCATGGTTGAGTCTTTCTACAAGAACAGAATTCCTTTTACTAGTATTTCTCAATACTTTGAATGTCCTCTTTTATTCACTAAAAAAATTTCCAGTGACCATTTTGATAATTTTGGAAATATTCCAGTGTTGTGTGGCCCACTTGTGGTCCATAGACTTCGAGTGGGCTGTATCAGTGCAGACAAGTAGATGGCTCCAGAGGATGGCAGAGAGGGAAATTATCCAAGTAATTTAAGTACGTGCTTCCTTCTGCTGGCTTAGGGAATTTAAGGTCCTTATGAGGCTGATTAGTTAATTTAAGAAAAAAGCTGACTGTCTCTTCCACTGAGCAGCATGTAACAAATCCTTCAAGATCTAATCTGCTCTTTCCTAAGTAGGGGCACACAGTATATCCTGCTCATGTTATTCTGCCTTTTCCTGCAAAAGCTCTGAACAAAGCAGGATTTGGTTAAAGAGAAAATTAAAAATACAGTAGTTTTGTCAATTCATAGGCTTTGTTCTTTGCTGGAGTTGTTTCTAGCTGAAAATGAAGGGCATATTTCAATCATCAGAATAATGTGAACAGGGTAATTCACTTGTAAACTTGATGACAATATTTCACGTAGCCAATATGAATTTTAATTTAATTTATTAAGATTAGGATTAAGAAATGCTTAAGGATCACATTTGCAAGAATAAAGATAAAAAGGCTTTTTAAAAGGGTAGTTCTTCAGAGCTTTCTCTAAGGTGAGGTTTCTGGACACTACTAGACTGTGGATTTAGGGACGATGCTTTCATTTTAACAGTTAACGCCACTTCTTTACTTGTATCTGGCTAGGCCTGTGATGGCCCTGTTAAAGTTTTAGCAAGGCAGGTTGGAAAACAGCCTGGCAAAACTGATGAATGCAACTTGAATGTTATTTATTCTCTATGTGACCTGACAGTACATAAAATGCAGGTTGAACTGAGATAGGAGTATCTGTGCAGAGTGATGTAAAAATACCCTTAAGTGATTCATTTCTGGATCCTGAAAAATGACTCTGTGGATGCCATTGACCATATCTTATATGAAGTATTATCAAAGCCAAACATGCACTTAATAAATTGCACCTAAAAGCCATGAAATAAAAAAGATCCCTAAACTTCAATTTTTTAATGCAAACATTAATTTTTTAATTTTCCTACCCTGCTCTGTCAGATTAGAGGTGATGTACGTACAGCTGGCTCATTGGATCCCTTATTCCCTGGGACTCTTGTCCCCAAGGATTTGGCCTCATTCTGTGCATGCATGAATAAAATGAGATCTGGATTTAAACAGAACTGAACAGCTGCAGTTGTTAACAGGAACCTTAAAAAAACAGGGTTGGCTCTATTAGCTTTAAAGGATGAATTTGATCTTGAAGTTGATGACAGTGGGAAATCTCACTGTAATGTCAATAGTCAATGGTTAGAGTAATTTTTTTTATGAGGAGGTGTGTTATTTCCTATAATATTCACTTGGCTGAAATTGAAAGCAAAACTTGCAGTATTCTATGGCATGTGTCCTGTCTTCCTCTGCTACTCTACCTCACCTAAGAAAGAACTGAGTTTCATTCCTATAAATATGTCCTTTGGTAAGATCTTTACCAACACATTCAAATTCTTCCCAGAAGCAAATGGACCACAATTCAGGTCTAAGATTACATTATTAAAGAAAGATAGATGCAGTGGGTGGAAATCTGTGAAAGAACTGGGATGGCAGGAAAACCAGTTGCCACCTCTCTCCTTCACTTGCAACAACCATAATCTATTATCTTTACACAACATTTTCTATCAAAACTTGCACAAGCAGTGGGTGCTTGATGTTCATTTTCCAATAAATATTTGCTTGAATGTCACTGCAACATACCTGGAATCAAAAGCCATTTTGTGAAAAGCACACATAGATCCATTGATTCCAGGGAACGATATCGCGATTTAATCAAAGCCGAGTGAAGAACAGCTCCTGTCCACACAGCCAGGATTATCAAGGATACCATAACTTCTTTATTCTAGTTTATTCTGCAAATATTTACCAGGTTTAACTGAAGATCAGAATGCTTTTTAAAAATGCACAGAAACAACTTGTAACATATCTAGGGCTAAAGCTACACTTGGTGTTTGGTTCAGACTTGAGTCCATCATCTTCTGAATTTAGTAATTTTGCCTCTAATGGGCAATGACCTTTATAGGAAGGCAGCAACTGATAGCTATGAAGTAGTAGGCAACAGCTTCATAACAACGTCTTAGTGGCAGCTGGTTCCATGAGCCCCCTTGTTCCTCTCCCAGGTACGAGCAGCACTCCTGCAGCGCTCCCCAGGTGGGATTTTCCACCACTGCCTGCTTGAATCAAATAGCTTCAATACCAAGAAATCCTTCAATAAGACACAAAGCCAGCCAAACATACTTCTGAAAACATTCTTGAGTCCTCTTCCAAGCATCAGAGTGTCTTTCTTCTCTCCAAACCTTTAATTTTCTCTTCTTTCCTCACCATTTTGGAAAACCTTTCCAGTGCAATAAGAGTCAAAAGCCCAAACTTCACCATATCAAGCAGAGATGACCATGCCTACATTTGACATCAGCTCAGTGTGGCACCAACACTGAACCTGTGAGATATGGCCACCAAGAACAGGTAAGGCCTGACATGGGCAAGCCGGTTCGCACACTCAGTGGGGACCTGACACTGTAACAACATAAATTAATGGGGCATAATTAATAGAATTAATGACCCAAGGAAGGAAACTACCTCATATTCTGTCAAAGCAGAAATGAATGTTAAACTTTTGTTCAACTATAATTCTCATGATTATCTTTTATGCTTAGCTACAGCAAAAATAACATAGCCCGTCCCTCCTCAGGCCACAAATCTCGGTCAATAGTACTAAAAGGAACTGCACTAGCTAGTTATTTTTAACTAGAAAGGCCATGGCAGCAACAATAAATACTTGCAAATTATCCCAAATTTAAAATTCAGATCCAGAGCTGGGTATCATTATTGTGAGTAATTAGTGCAATCAGTACAGCCTACATGCAGCAAACAATTCACAAATATCAGATAATTTGATCTGCAATATTTTCTTTCATGAAAGCAGCTAGACAATATTTCAATTGATAGTTTCTGTCCTTGGCTTTGTTTTCTGCTCTAACATTTTGGAACCTGCTGCTCCCTACAGCAACTCTTTTTGTCTCGGATCAATACACATTTTGTGTTTCGTGAAGCCTGGCCTGTGTAGAGTTACCTCTGCTGAATCCCCAAGGCAAAAATAGTCTTTTAACAAATCTTGAAAGTTAGTGTATATAAGAGTCTTCTGATTGACCAACTCTGCCAAAATAATATACAGAAAATCTTGGTGGGTTCAGTTTCAGGAGAAACCGAGAGAATGGCAAACCTGGCCATGCTGTAGGATGAAATGTCTCTGCTCAGCTTGCAGAAGGCTATTCCTGGTTCAGAGTAAATAGCTATTGCTGTCTCATGGATGGACAGAAAAATACACTTCAGGTTTTCTTTGTCAGTACAACTCTTGCCTTGTGTTGGCAGACTGATGTCTTCATCAGCAGTTCCTCTGTGTTCTCTAATAGCACTAACAGTCCTAAGGATTATTGCAATAGGTATTTAATAAGGAACTTTCTAACCCCTGTTGCTGATATTCTGCTACGGACATGAATGAGACCTGTTGATTCTAAAGCAGCATTTTATTTTAAATCTTACCTAAAGCAAAAAAAGAAGGCAGAACTAAGTAAAAGCAGTAATTTACTGCTGTTTATCTCAAAGTGACAAAGCTGATCATTCTTACCACTTGTGTTTAAAAATTTGAAACTGGAATTCTTCCCCCAAATAAATCCTGAACTACAAAATCTAGCCCTGGTCCTATATGACTCTTAAAAACACAGGTCAAAAAACGTATCCACTCTAACGGTTGACACACTTGTAAAATTACCTTCCGTTGTAGTTTTCTGTTTAGCATTTGCAACAGGCTACCCTGTGAGGCTACAGCTGTCCCACAGCGCCAGTGAGCAGCCGAGGCTCGGGCATCCCGCTTCCCAACCCCGTTCCCTTCCATCCAGCTGCTGCCTTTCGGAAGAAGGGAAGCCCAGCGGTGAGCATGGGCATCACCTGCTTTCCTCAGGAGGCCAAGACCAGCCGCTGACTTCTGTCTTCTGAGTCCCCTTTTGCTCTCAGTCTTAAAAGTCTTCAAAACAGAGTCTGTTTTCATTACGGAAGTTAGTGTTTGATTCCATAGAGGATTTGGTTTTCCTACTCATTTTGTGGAAGACAATCTCACACTAAGCTAATGGACAGGGTAAAATCCTGAGATAAATGATGTTGATTGCAAGTGTTCCAATAAAAACTATTAACTAAAAAAGCCAGTCATTTACACATTCAATATAAAATTCATGGGTCCTGTTAATATGCAGTGGATTAGAGAAACAAAAAAATCAGAAAACTGAAAAGAAATTTGCTTTCAAATGACTTCATAGGGCAAACTGTCATACTATTTAAGCCAGAGGCAAAACTACAGTGACTTCTTTGGGAATTAAGCCCACCTGATTTTTATTTGCAGTTTGGAAATACAGTTGACAAAAGACAAAATAAAAATCTTTAAATGTTCAGTATTAGAAAATTACAATCGCTTTTTTCATCTTGGTAGTTTTCTCAGGACAGAAGTTCACCTGTGCTGTAGCCATGCATGCCCAGAGAATATGAATAACGTACCCAAATTGTACTCTTGTATAAATCAGTTTATTTTCTTTTTTCTTTATCTTGCTTCAGATATCACTGATTATTTGTAGTTGTTCATCATGTGAGCTCTTGCTGTATTAGCTGCATCTTCTGTAGCCCCTGAAAAATAATGACACTGATTTTTAGTATATAATTATGAATATCCAAAAATACAAGATAATATTTTGTAAGACAAAATGAACTAAGATATAAGATGGTCCACCAGGAAATTGTATTTACAATCATATTCGTTTTGCTTTTGGTCTTGGCTGGCATACATCTCTCATCTTTTACCATTGGTTTAAATGAAGTCAGGCTCAGTATGAATTAAAAAAAAAAAGGAAAAATTTGGAAATCTCTTCTGGTAGCATCAATTACTTCATGATTTCACCCAGAGAGTGATTAACAGCTTATGTAGGAACCATATCACACTCATGACAAAAAAAAAATGCAATGGAGATACTGGGAGGACCGTTTATTCTGTTATATATGGTGAATTAATACTATCCATCACAGTCCCAAGTCAAGAAAAACGTGAATAGGTTTTAAGGCCAGCAGGGATAACTGTAACTGTCTAAAATGATTTTTCCCACAACGCAGACTCCAGAATGCTCTTTGGTACTGTCTGAATCCAGACAGAGCTGGGGGGCGAGCGGAGGCACAGTCTCTAAGAAATGCATTCAGCCTTAGCTTTCAGATGGCAAATGATGGCAAACCCAAAATCAATTGCACCAGCCATAATCATCCTCACTGTTAAAAATGTGCACCTTATGTATACCCTGATTTCTCATAGACTCACTTTCTAGCCACTGCAGTTTTTACATCCTTACCTGAAAGATTAAAATTCATCTGTTATCAGAAAACTTTGCCCTCTGTAAGACATTTCCAGCTCTTTCTAACCCTTCTGGTGCCCTCTCCTCGGCTAAGAAAGTTTCCCAGACATAATTCCTGTAATGCTTTTCTGATCATTTTCCAGCTGCTCGTATTTATTTTTATTTGAAACACAAGCAGGAGGACCCGGCCTAGTCTGCAAGGATTTTTCTGTGCTGAATAAATTGATGATACCAGTTTTCTCCCCTCCTTCCTCAATATTTTGGCGTGGCTATATATACACCCGTGTCTTTGGCCATCCCTGGGCAGTAAAGCATTTCAGCTTCAGTGAACAAAACTGATGGACCTTAAGCATACGTTCAACGACGCTCCTAAATATAGCTCCACTTGAGCATACTTCTACAGCTGAGAACATGTCCAGCTACTTCGCTAAATTGGCCTAATGTACAGTGACTTCCAGCCTCTCCACCTCTACCACCACCTCTTCTTGCCTGCTTTAGAGCCTGACTGTAATGGGAGGTTTTTGCAGGGATGCTTTTATAGCCTAAACCTCAGCAGTATATCTGTGTCTATATATTTTGACTTCCTTTTGGCATTAATTATTTTCTATTCCTTTACATTGAGATGAGAGAATGTGTGAATTTCTGAGTGACGTCTACTTTAAAATAAATATCATTCAGCAGAACAGTGGGTCTGTGTATTTTGAAATGGAAATAGAATATGTGGCAATGAAGGGAAAG